AAAGTACCTTGGTTTGTGAGTATAATTTGTCCTGGAAACATGCTTGTAATCCAAAGCACTTGTATATCAAAGTGAATTTCATGAACCATTGGCTCAGTTGTGATCATGTGACATTTGGCATCATGTACTACTTGTATTGCAAGACCGCTCACTTATCAAGTTAAAATTTATTAGAAATGTTTGCTCATCTTGCAGAACACTCGCAGACCAAGTTACTCACAATTCAAGGTTTTACTGCACTGTGATAACATGGGTGAACATTCTCTTGTACACACCTGATCTCCAACAGTTCAGTGTTATTTGCTTAGCAAGAGAGCTGTCAGTCTCCAAGGCTTGCTAACTAGCTGCCTTCTGCAATGGAACTGACCATAACCCAAGTTATAAATAGCTGGATTTTCCTAGATATGCAGAAAGGTTTCACATTTATTATATCCTCAACTTTGCCCTTCATTCAAAATGCTAAAAATTAAATAACTCTGTAATAGTCTTTGTCTTAAAACTTAACACATGGGATATTTAGCTTTCATATTATAGCAAAATAGAATTTCTGTTGTAATAAAGTGTACTTATTTAATATCAGGAAATGATTTATTATTCAATAAGGTAAAGGATAAAAATTATTATGATTATCCCCAAAAGGCATATGATAAAAACTGAGTTGTCCTTTCTAATAAAATTCATATAAAGATAAAAAGGCCACCCTTTACTATGATCAAAGCTGTCTACCAAACCCCACAGGCAATATGCTACTCATTGAAATGCTGAAGCCATTTCCACTTACATCAGAAAAGAGATGAGGACGAGTACACTTATTGCAGCTATTAAACATGGCTTTAGAAATGTAAAGCAATCGGTAGGTCTAAAAAATAACTGATGTAGGGGCACTTGGGTGGCTCAGTCGGTCAAGCACCTGACTTCGGCTCAGGTCATGATCTTGCGGTTTGTGAGTTTGACCCCCGCATTGGACTCTGTGCTGACAGCTCAGAGCCTGGAGCCTGCTTCAAATTCTGTGTCTCCCCCTCTCTGTGCTCCTCCCATGCTCATGCTCTGTCTCTCTCTGTCTCTCAATAATAAATAAATGTTAAAAAAATTTTTTTAAAAATACCTGATGTAAACAATGGAAAGGAAGAGTCAGAATTATTTCTATTTAAATCATATATTTGCACATCTGTATAAACCAAGACACTTTAGGAAAATATTCTTTGGTATGATGACTAAATATAAGATACATATATATTTAAGGAGAGCACTTGATGGGATGAGCAGTGGGTATTATATGTAAATGATGAATTAGTAAATTCTCCTGAAACCATTATTATACTATATGTTAACTAACTTGGATTTAAATAAAGTAAAAAAAAAAGATACAGATATAAAAATTAACACTTTTCTATATAAGCTATAATCAGTTAAAATGAATTATATATATCTATATATCTATATCTATATATCTATATATATTTAGTTTCAAAGTCATGAAACACAAGTTCTGAACAAGAAAGCAATGAGATCATATGAAATATTACAAAATTTTACTAAAGGGAATATAATAAGATCTGAAAAATCAGTGTGAAAGACCGTGTTTCTTTTTTTTTTTAAGTTTATTTATTTGAGAGAGAGAGAGAGCGAGCCAGGGAGGGGCTGAGAGAAGGAGAGAGATCCCAAGCAGGCTCTGCACCATCAGTACAGAGCCTGATGTGGGACTCGAACCTGCGAACCATGAGATCATGACCTGAGTGGAAATCAAGAGTTGGACACTTAACCAATGCCCCAGCCATGTTTCTTGTTGGAAAGATTTAATTGAATAAAAATTCAAATAGGGGCGCCTGGGTGGCTCAGTCGGTTAACCATCTGACTTTGGATCAGATCATGTCATGATCTCACTGTTCATGAGTTCAAGCCCTGTATCAGGCTCTCTGCTGTCAGCACAGAGCCCACTTCAGATCCTCTGCCTCCCTCTCTCTCTGCCCCTCCTGTGCACATGTGCTCACTCTCTCTCTCTCGAAAATAAATGAACATTTAAGAAAAATAAAAATTCAATTAATAATATAAATAGTTGATATAATTCTAAGCAATAGAAGAACAAATACCTGAGATTAGGCACAAAAAGAAAAAAAGCATGGTGGGAGCTTGGATTACCATATTTAAAAGTATTGTATATTCTTAAAAATATTGTATATTCTAGTTACTGTAATACTTCAAAATTTAAATTGTGCAAATAAACATTACACATTGCAACTCTTTAGACTATATAAATATACAACAAATGAGTCCAGAAGATGGGGCTAGATCATGTCTTTTGAAAATTGTGTTTTCTTAGATTTGAGATATAACAGACCCTAGATATATCATTAATTGAAAGCAGGTTAGATGGGCTAAATGGGTGATGGGTATTAAGGAGAGACTTGTTATGATGAGCACTGGGTGTTATATGTAAGTGTTGAATCACTAAATTCTACTCCTGAAACAAACAAAAGTAAAAAAAAGAAAGAGAGCAGGTTAGGTCCTGGACAATCTGGGTAAATTATATGGTAGTAAACTCTAATACAGTGGTAGGTTTGATTTCTTAATTATCAGTTAGGATTTTTACATCCCTCTTTGTATTTTTTAAAACATGTTTATTTATTTGAGAGAGAGCGAGAGAAAGAGAGAGAGAGAGAGAGAGAGAGAGAGAGAGAGAGAGCACGAGCACAAGCAGGGGAGGAACAGAGAGAGGGAGGGAGATACAGAATCTGAAGTAGGCTCCAGGCTCTGAGCTGTCAGCACAGAGCCCTACAAGGGTCTTGAACCCATGAACCGTTAGATCATTACCTGAGCCAAAGTCAGGCACTTAACTGACTGAGCCACCCAGATGCCCCTACATCTCTTTTTATAAATAAAGATGTAAAAAGTCCTTTACATTGGCCTTTTTTTTTTTTAATGTAGGCTCTATGCCTGATGTGGAACCCAGAGCAGGGCTTGAACCCACAAGCCTGAGATCAAGAGACGCTTAGCTAACTGAGCCACCCACCCAGGTGCCCCTACATTTTTTTTTCAGTAGGCTTCACACCCAATGCAGAGCCCAATGTGGGTCTTGAACTCAGAACTCTGAGATCAAGACCTGAGCTGAGATCAAGAGTCTGATCTTAACTGACTGAGCCATCCAGGTGCCCGCCAAATTGGCTTTTGATGTTAATTATGTACTCTGTATTTTCTTGCTAGGGCTGCCATAACAAGTATCACAGACTGGGTGGCTTAGACAACAGAAATTTATTGTGTCATAGTTATGGAGGCTAGAAGTCTAAGATCAAGGTTTGGTTTCTTCCGAGGCCTCTCTCCTTGCCTTACAGATGGCTGTCTTCTTGTTAGGTCTTCACCTGGTCTTTCATTTGTGCACGTGTATTCCTGGTGTCTTTGTGTGTCTAAATTTCCTCTTTTTATAAAGACATCAGTCAGGTTGGATTAGGATCCACCCTAAGTGACTCATTTTAATTTAATCATCTTTTTTAATAGCCTTATCTCCACATAGAGTCACATTTTGAGGTATTGGAGGTTAGGTCCTCAACATGGATTTGGGGGGACATAATTCAAACTATAACATACTCTTTGCCCTATTTAACTATCCAAGTTTTAGTGACCTCTTATATAAGTTGGTAAGCATTCTATTTTTTTCCCAGGCTCTGGAAGAATTTATATAATATATAAATTATCTATTACTTTCAGTATTGGCATTCTGTGTTCTTAAAAACATCTGGCCTTTTAAGGGGTTAGATTGTTAAATATTTTAATTTTTTTCCTGTTGGTTATGTTTTATTCAGGTTTTCTACTTCTTCCTGAATAAAATTAGGTTATTTTTTTAGAAAATGATTAATTTCATGTAGATCAGTAGTTGCCAACTGGGGGCAATTTTACCCTCCACTCTACTCCAGACCTTTAGGCGATGTCTGGAGACATTCTTATTTGTCAGAATTAGAGGGAAGGGGAGAATACTGACATCTAGTTAGCAGAGGACAGGGAGGCTACTAAACACTGTATACTATACAGGACAGCCCCCTATAACAAAGAGTTATCTGATCCCAATGTCAGCAGTGTGAAAATCCTGCTCTAGACGTTCAAATTTACTTGTATAAAGTAGTGGAATGGTTAAGAAGAATCTCGGTTTATAGAGTTAAATAAAACTCCTCATTTATAATGTCTTTAGTTTTTAATTTTTTTCTTGACCACGCCCATATTCTGACCTCTAGAAAGAACACTTCTGGATTTGGACTAAATCTAAACTTGACTTGATTTAATCTCTATCTTTTATTAATTCATTATCTTCTCTTGTTTTGAAAGTTATTTTATTTGCTTTCTACCTTGTTTTATGCATAGTTTGTTTTTCTGTTTATTAAATTATATCCATGTATCAAAGGATATACATTTTCCTATCAGTACAGATTTGGATCACATTACACAGCTTTTGATATGTACTACTCTCAATACCATTCATTACTAAAAATTCTGTATTGTTTACTTTTAGTTTCTTCCTTAAATTACCAAGTTGATAGCGTAGTATTTTGTTTTAGATCAACTTTTTTACTTGATTTATCATCTTATTGCCTTTCTGTCAGAGTTTTTCTTTTGATGTTCAATAAAAGATAAGTGGTTACTGATGACTTTCCTATATTTTTTATATTAAAGAATGTTTTTATAATGCCCTAATGTTAAGTAAAATCCTGGTAACTGTTTCCTACATTTGTTACAATCATTATAAAGACTCTTTATAATGTAGAATAAAGTATAAACTTAAACTAAGTTTTTCCTCATTATTTACATGAGTATAATTTCATGCTAATATAAATCACTGACATGATAAATAAGAATTAAGATAAATAAAAATTTATTACATATTACATTCATGTGGCCTTTCTCCTCAATGAATTCTCTGATGCCTTCCTATACTTGCTATATTCACAGAGTTCTCATCTGGTAATTCTCTGATGTCCCATAAGAGTTTACTTAGAAGCAAAATACTACATTCATTACAGTACTAGAGATTTTCTTTCTCCAATATGAATTTTCTCATGTCGAATAAGACATGAACCACGGATAAAGGCTTTCCCACATTCTTTACATTCATAGGGTTTCTCACCAGTATGAATTATCTGATGATGAATAAGTTGTGATCCTTGACCAAAAGATTTGCCACATTCCTTACATTCATAAAGTTTTTCACCAGTATGAATTCGTTGATGGTGTGCGAGTTCCCTGTTATGACTAAAGGACTGTCCACATTCCTTACATTCAAAGAGTTTTGCTCTTAAATGAATTTTCTGATGTCCGATAAGATTTGAGTGGTAACGGAAGGCTTTATTACAATTGTTACATTCATAGGGTCTTTCTCCAGTGTGAATTCTCTGATGTTGAATAAGGATTGAGTGGTGATGGAAGGCTTTCCCACATTCACCACATTCATAGGGTCTTTCTTCACTGTGAACTCTCTGATGTCCCTTAAGAATTGAAGTGTTGCTAAAAGCCTTCCCACATTCTTTACATTCATAGTGTTTTTCTTTAGTATGTGTTTTTTCATGTCGAATGAGGGATGAGTGGTAACTGAAAGCTTTTCTACATTCTTTGCATTCATAGGGTTTCTCTCCAGTATGAATTCTCTGGTGTAGAGTAAGGTGTGAGCCACGACTAAAAGCCTTTCCACATTCCTTACATTCATAGGGTCTTTCTCCAGTATGAATTCTCTGATGTCGAATGAGATTTGAGGGGTGGTGGAAAGCTTTCCTACACTCATTACATTCATAGAGTTTGTCTCCATTATGAATTCTCTGATGTCCAGTAAGTTTTGAGAAACTGCTAAAAGCCTTTCCACAATGCTTACATTCATAGCATTTTTCTGTAGTATGTCTTCTCCCATGGTGAATTAGCAGTGAGTGGTAATTGAAGACTTTCCCACATTCTCTGCATTCATAGGGTTTTTGCCTAGTATGATATATCTGATGTAGACTATAGGATGTTTGTTGACTGAGACTTTGCATATTTTCATGGGTGACTGTCACAGGTTTAAGATATTCTTCTTTATTTCCCTGTTCTGTCTGAAAATGGTGATTATACTTCCAATCATCTTGAAAAATGGAACATCCAAATTCATGGGTTGGAAGTCTTTCCATTATCTTCCACTGAGATGACTTTATTTTATAACTGTCATCATTTGGTGATAACTCCTTTGTTGCACATTGGGATTTCATATCTGAGAAGTAATGAGAAAGAAAGTGTGCATTTTTTTCCAGTTCCTGGAACAACAAAATTTCTGAACAGGAATATGAACACATTACCTATAAGAAATTGATGGCTTGACAAGATCTCAAATATAACTATGGAAGGTGAGCATAGTGTGGACACAGGTGATTAAAGAAGCAGGGTAACTGTTTCTAAAATGTTGCTTCAGATCAGAATTACTGGAAAACTTGTTAAAAACAGAAATGGTACAAGTATCACTTGAAAGCAATTGAATCAAACTACAGGAATAGACCTTAGCTTTAAGAAAAATCTCTAGAGGCTCCTGGGTGGCTCAGTCAGTTAAGTGTCCAACTTCGGCTCGGGTCATGATCTCATGGTTTGTGGGTTCGAGCCCGCGTCGGGCTCTGTGCTGACCGCTCGGAGCCTGGAGCCTGCTTCGAATTCTGTGTCTCCCTCTCTCTCTGCTCCTCCCCCGCTCCTGCTCTGTCTCTCCCTCTCCTTCAAAAATAAATTAAAAAACATTAAAAAAAAAAAAAAAAAGAAAAATCTCTAGTGATTCTGATGTAGCCTGAAGTTGGAAAATCATTAAGGTTTTCCTCTGTACTTAGTATAACATTTGAATAACTTACCATTAACTCAAAGGTGATGTCATGATCTGGCCCTGGCTAATATATCACTGAACTATGCTCTTCCCCAGTTCACTATGCTATGTTCCAAGAGCAGATAAAATACTTTTCTATATTAGTGTGATTTCCACTGCTGTTCTCTCTAGCAGGTATTGTTTTTGTTTTTCAATTTTTTAAAAATTTTACTTAAGTGATCTCTCCACCCCATGTGGGGCTCAAACTCAAGACACTGAAATCAAGAGTCATATGCTGTTCCAACTGGGCCAGCCAAGCACCCCATTTGGAGGTACTGTCTATCCTTGTATGGCTGGCCCCTTCTCACCCTTCTTGTCTCAGTGTAAATATAATTACAAATAACACTAAAAATCCCCCCTCTCAAACTGTGTCGGACAACACCAAATCTTATTCTAGTGCCCAAATGACTAATCATAACCTTCACGATTTTTCTCATCTATTTTTTCTCATTTTCTATGCTAGACTATAAGATTCCTATTGGAAAGCATCATGTCTGTTTAACACACTACTATTTAATTAGCTTTTAGCACAATATCTACCATATAACAGGTGTTCAATAAATAGCTATTGAATGGTGACGATTAAGGAAAAGGAATTAGAATGGGAATATAGGAAAATATCAGGAAATTAATAGGGAAAACAATTAAGTTCCACAGTCATTATTTTAGAAGAATCTTTACAGTGTTTTATGCATTGTGGCAAAATTACATAACCAAAGTTTCATGTAATTATGAACATATAGATTTGTTGATGTAGGAAAACTAGAGGATACCCTCCAATGGGACAAAGGGTGTCTCAGTGGCTAATGAGCTAGAAACTAATAAAAAGAATGTTGGGTCTTAGTTGATGGGGCAAGATGATGGCAATACAAAGTGAAGAATATCCTGGGGAAATTTCAAAGGGCGGAATGAGTCAGCTATGAGCAGATAACAAGGAGGTAGTTTTTGTGTCTAGAGTAGATACTATATAAAACACCATTTGCCTGGCATGTGATGATATTGGCCAAGGATAAGAAACAAGTAGCCTCACCAATGGCAACAGCCACTGACAGTCTGAAGTAAAAGCAACTTTCAGATAGCATGACAGAATAAAATGCACAGTGGCATGGTGGGAAGATCCAAGGAACTGTATCATAGAGACTGGATTTCAAGTCTCAGTTCTCTAATTACAAGGTTTATGTCACTGGAAGAATTATTTACAATCCATAAGTACCATTTCCATATCTGTAAAATGATGGTAATGCTTAACATAGGTTAATTGCTAAAATTAACAGTAATTTAGAGCGAGACTGAGAAAAATAATGGTAACTGTTTGAAGCTCAGTGATGGGTACATCATTATTTTTGCAAATATTTGAAAATTTCTGTAATAAAAAGAAAAGAAGAGAATAACTTGGGTAAAGTCCCTGGAAAAAATTAAATGCTTAATAAGTAGTAATTACAATAAAGGAAAAAAATATTTTCACAAAAATGACAAAAGTGGACAAGGGAAATTATTTTGAAGACATCAAAGTAGTGCCAGGCTGAGAGGCATAAGCCAAAAGGTAAACATTATTCTGGCATCAACTTCTTCAACATTCAGAAAGTCTTGTCTAGCTCTTAAACAGGTCTTCACTTTTTTTTTTCTCATTTCTTGATATCCACTGCCAATACTCAAACCGAAGCATAAATGATTTCTCAAATAAGAAAATATTTGCAAAGCATTTATCTGATAAGGGGTTAATATCCAAAACATATAAGGAACTCATTTAACTCAATGGCAAAAAAAAAATAGTGTGATTAAGAAATGGGAAAAGGACCTAAACAGACATTTTTCCAAAGAAGACATACAAATGTCCATGAAAATATGCTCAACATCACTGGGGAAATGCAAATCAAAACCACAATGAGATATCACCTCACACCTGATAGAATGGCTATTATCAAAATGACAAGAAATAACAAGTGCTGACCAGGATGTGGAGAAAAGGGAACCCTTGCACACTACTGGTAGGAATGTAAATTGTTACAGCCACTGTGGAAAATTTGAGGTTGCTCAAATGATTAACAATTGAATTACCATATGATCCAACAATCCTACTCCTGAGTATGTATTCAAAGGAAATGAAATCACTATCTTGAAGAGATATTTGCACCTCCATGTTCATTGCAACATTAGTTGCAAAAGCCAAGACCTGGAACAACTTAAGTGTCCACTGACACATGAATGAATAAAGAAAATGTGGTGTTTACATATACAATGGGATGTAATTCAGCTATAAAAAAGAAGGAAATCCTGCCATTTGTGACAACATGGATGAACCTTGAGGGCATTATGCTGTGAAATAAGTCATATGGAGAAAGGCCAGTATTTCATGATCTCATTTATATGTGAAATCTAAAAAGCCAAACTCATAGAAACAGAGAGTAGATTGGTGCTTGCCAGGGGCTAAGGGTGGAGGCAATGGAGAGATGTTGATCTATGGGTACAAACTTCCAGTTATAAGATAAATAAGTTCTGGGATCTAATGTACAGCATGGTGATCATAGTTAATACTGTATTGTATACTTAAAAATTGCTGAGAGGTAGGGCGCCTGGGTGGCTCAGTCGGTTAAAGCGTCTGACTTCGGCTGAGGTCATGACCTCATGGTTTGTGGGTTTGAGTCCTGCATCAGGCTCTGTGCTGACAGCTCAGAGCCTGGAACCTGCTTCAGATTCTGTGTTTCCCTCTCTGTCCGCCCCTCCCCAGGTCTCACTCTGTCTCTATCTCTCTCAAATATAAATAAAAATTTTTAAAAAATTGCTGAGAGAGTAAATTTTAAATGTTCTCACCACGCACATGCACGCGTGCACGCGCGCACACACACACACACACACACACACACACACAAAGGGAATTATGTGAGGTGATGTGATAATTAACTTTATTGTAATCATTTCACTGTATATACGTGTGGCAAATCATTATGTTGTACATCTTAAACTTACACAATGCTATATGCCAATTATATCCCAGTAAAGCT